CTTTTCAATGGCTTTATATATGGTTTGCTAGTGAAACAAACCCTTTAGAGGGAAATATTGACTATTATGGCATGATTAATGACATCATTGAGTTGGATTACAATGGCAAGTGGAAAGTTATCTTATTTCGGTATGATTAGGATGATGTGAATAATGCGAGGGGTATTAAGAAATATCAGTACGGATTTACACTTGTGAATTTTTCTCGATTATTTCACACTGGACAACAACTCATCGATGAACCTTATGTTTTTTCATCTCAAGTCAAACAAGTATTTTACTCTGAAGATCCCAAAGAATTGGGTTAGTTTGTTATTTTTTGAAACACACCTAGAGACTTATTTGATATGGGGTTAGATACCAGAGATGATGTTGAACATGAAACTGAATGTTATCTTTTTGCTGAACAAAACTTGGATGAAAATATCTCTAGTACCTACGCTCAGTGGGTCCATGAAGATGTTACTGAAGACATTTATGAACCATGAAATGGTGCATCTATAATTTGTAATTCGAATGTTTAAGACATAATGTAATAAATGATTATATGTAATTAATGTCACATTCGCTATTGTATAATTATTGTATTCTAAATCACACATTATCTTTTGATTTAATTAAATCGATATGTTCTTTATATATCGTAAGTTTTGATTTCTTAACTTCTCAATGGCTTTATATATGTTCTAAACTAATATCTTTTCTATATTCGCTTTTATTATGTAGGTAAGCTATAACGCAGAAGAGTATGTTGAAAGGAAAACATATCAGAGATATTAGTTCAGAATCGTCTGCGATACCTGTAAATATTGGCTATGGACTGAATCATTTAAAGGAAAATGAATGTACTGTCGGATCTAACTCCATCACTTCTAACCTTTCAACTGATATTAGATCTGACAATATGGGAGGTCCAGGTTTAGATAGTACCCCATCAATTGATTATGCTTTAAATTTGAATGCAGATATGATATACTCCAATTTTAGAATTCAAGTATAATGATAAAAGTATTATGATTTTACAAATTTATTTTTTATTTGTTGTAGTTGATAACAATGGTCAACGAAGGACCAGAGGCCGAAAAACTTTGAAGGAATTGTTTGCACTACCTCCTAACAAGCGTATTGTAGTATCTGCAAACTCTGATAGGCAACCAATTGGTGAAGAGGCTCAATTGTTGGCTGGATTTCTAGGCATGCTGGCCCATAATGAAATGAAATTGCCTATTCATTATGAAACATGGCATAAAGTTTCAAAAGAAGTTAAGGCCTATGCTTTAAACTTTATTGAGGTATTAATATAATTAATTAGAAATAAAAAAATTTTATTTTACATTTTGTTTACTTATTCAAACTTTTCTTATTGTATTATTACAGTCAAGATTTGTACTTGAAATACCAACTTCATTTGTGCTTAAGTCATTGGGAAATAAATGGAAAGATTATAAGCATAGTTTGAAGAATAAGTATTTCGATCGAAATACTTCTGTAGATGCGATGATGAAAAATTTATCGCGTAATGTGATTAGGTGGCAATATGAACAATTAGTTAGATTTTGATTCTCAAGAAAATGAGAGGTACTATTTTATAACTTTGTATAGTAGAATGAAATGATGAAAGTGTTTTATGGTTTAAGTTGGTAATATTTGTATTTCTATCATATACGTAATTATTTTTTATGATAGAAAAGAGAACAGATTGGGATTGGTAGCAAAAAGCAAACGAAATATTCCCTACACAAGTGGATCAAAAAGTTTTGCTAGAAAGCAAAAAGAAATAGTAAGTTTATGATAATAAACTTATTCCAATGAATGAACTTATTCTGTCGTTAAAAGGTAAATATGCAAATTAATAGTTATTGTTCTATTTTAATAGTTTTGATAATTTCAATACATGATATATAACTTATCAAAAGTTTTGAACTTAGTTGACATGAATGATATGTATGAAAAAGTTATTGTTTACGTATATTTAGGTAAAAATACAAATTTATTGTTATTGTTGTATTTTAACAGTTTGGATAACTTCAATACTTGATATTAAACTTGTCTGATTGACTGAACTTGGTTTCTGCGGTTGATATGGGAGAAAAAGTTGTCGTTGATGTCTATTTGGGACTATTTTTGCATATAAAAGGCAAATATACAAATTAAACTTTTGAATGGCTTTCAACATATTGAATGGCTTCAATCCTTGATATTAAACTGGGAGAAAATAATTGAATTTGGTTTCCATGATTGATATGTGTGAAAGCCTAAAATACTTTTATTGTTTACGTATGTTTGAGACTATTGTGTTGTTACGGGCCAAAATATAAATACATTAGATTAAAATTATTTGAAATGTTAATACTTGATTGACAGGCTTGATATGCATGAATAAACTGTAGTTGATATGTATCCTATCAAATAAATATATTTTTGTATAAGAGAATAAAATGGACGGTACAATTGGATGTGTGAAACTTTTTTGCATAACACATAAAAAAAGATAGATCTTACATGAATGTCGAAACATAAGAAATTGTGATAATTTGTATTATCTATTTTAACAGAAAGTAAATATTTACTCTTTTTAACATATTATTAATTAATCATTAAACTTGATAATTGTATATGACAAATTCACAGAAAAAAGCGAAAGAGAAAATGACTGTTGAGATTGAAGTAGCATATGATGGTTCTCTCAATATGCAAAAAATAAAAAATCAGATATTTATAGAAGTTGCTGAAAAAGAAAAGGCATGGACGGGTCCAAGGCCTTGGATTGAGTCCAACACCGTCTGCCTATTATGGACATAGCTCACAGTAATTTACATTCTCAGCAAGTCAGTCTTCGCGAGACATTTCAATATTGAGAGGGGAGTTGCAAACTATGCAATAATATTTTCAGCAAATGGAAACAAGAAAAGAACAGGAGCGTGCCAAAATTGAGAAAAAACGTGTTAGAATGGAGTAAGAGCGTGCAAAATTTCAGCAGTTGCATGATCAATTCGATCATCTTATAAATTTTGTACAACAACAATTTTTTGAAAATAATCTTGGTGCTCCACTAACTCGAGTATTATATTTAGTAAATATTTAAATTTTTAAATATAAAAAAAGCTTACAATGAAGTGTTAAAAGTTATCTGATATTATTCAGTAGGTTCTTGAGCACGCTAGTGACCAAGGTGAAAATTTTTTTTCATCAATTAGCAGCCAGCAAAATGTATGCAGTCATCAATTTCATACATTTTAATTTTTATTTTCTTAATGTATTAAAAATATTTGAATGTTATTATACTAATTATTAAACTTTGTATTAATTAGATGCATACATAAATGCGAATTAAGTTTATATTAATTTCAGTTTCTGAATTTAAGCTCTTTAATGAAATTAAAATTTATTAACAGAAATTAAAAAAAAAAAAATTTTTACATAATGACGGCATTTGCGTTCAATAATGTCACTAAATGAATAATTTAATGGGGTTTGTATCGTCAAATGCCACTAAAAGTAACGATGCTCTTACCAACAAACGCCGCTAGTAAGTGATATTTTTTATACAAATGCCACCAAAGCAACGACACTTTTCTCATAAAACGTTACTAAATTAGCAGCGTCTCAAAGATACAAATGTCGCTAATATGAAGGCGTTTTCAAATACTAGCATCTCTAAAGTAACGGCGTTTTCAGTTACAAACGCCACCAAAGCAACGCATTTTTCTCATAAAAATACCACTAAATTAGCGGCGTCTCAAAGATACAAACGTCACTAATATATAGGCATTTTCAGATATAAACGCCTGTAAAGTAGCAATATTTTCAATTACAAATACCACCAAAGCAATAATATTTTTTTCATAAAAATGTCACTAAATTAGCGGCGTTTCAAAAATACAAACGCTATTAATATGGAGACGTTTTCAGATACAAAAGCATCCAAAGTAACGATATTTTCAGTTATAAACGTCATCAAAGCAATGTTGTTTTTCTTGTAAAAACGTAACTAATTTAACGGCATTTCAAAGATGAAAACGCCATTAAAATGGTAGTATTTTTTTTAAATGCCACTATTTTTTGAGACACGTGTATAATCGACACTTTAAGTAACAATTTTCGTAAACGTCGTAAATCTTTTAATAATATTTATAAATATTTATAAATATTAAAAAAATATCACTAAAAATCTAAACCCTTATAGTGTTACTAACTAAGCAAACAACATTCAATCTAGGATTCAGTATCTTACGTACTGCTTTTTGATTCAATTCCTGCAAGCAAAGCAAAAGAGGCAAAAGCCATCCTATAGGCTTTTTCATTTAGTAGACTATTTTCTAAAAAAAAAAACCAAAAGTTTAATTATTGAAAGAACATTGCGTGCTTGTGACAGCAAAGATTTCTCTTTAGCTGTTAATTACAAACTAACAAAAGGTAGAATTATACATAATTTCAGACACCTTACATCTTAACAAAAGCTAGAGCTTGCTCAGACATGATTGTACCCCTCTAATCAAAAAGCACGTGTTGGAACATTACGTCCTACTTAATTTCTTTCATTCTTTTGCTTTTTTTTTATTCGAAAAGTAATATCCTTAAATTTTATCTAGAGCTAATTTTTTTTAATCTATTTATTATTGCATTTTCTTAATTTCTCACATTGAGCTGATATCTACATTTAAGATTTTATTCTTACTTATATGTTATTTATATATGTTTTACATCATCAAAATCTAGCGTTAATAAAAAAAAATTATTGTATGGAATTTAAAATAAGATTAACAACTTTTTATTCTTTAAAATTTTTTTTTTGTTTTTTATTTACATTTTTTAATTTTTAGATTAGAAAAAAAAATAACAAAAATAATAATCAAACAGATCTTAAAAAAAATAGACATTTTGTTTCATGCATATATACTATAATATTGTTTAATTCACATAATTAGCCAAGTCACATTGATTTGAAGGAATTAATTATATAAAATCTATATATAATTAATGGATGATAACTACTAATATATTGCTTTAATTCCCAAAGAAGTGGGTGGATCGGATTCAGAGAACTGATCTGAAGGCAGACGAAAGTGGCAAAATCAACACATAATTAAACTGAAGCGATACTGGCAAAAGAATTATATAAGATATAGTAATAAGACACAGCTGACGAAGGTGCATGATTTGATCAACTCTGAAGTCTTAAGGGCACTTGGGCTGGTGCTTGGAGTTCAACTTGTCTCGATAGCAAGGGCACTCCGACTTGTTGCCATAGGTCCCTGAAGGAACACATTTACATTCTCGGCAGCATATCCCACAATACTTCAAGCACCGGTCTTTCAGTCCTGCTTTGAAACACCTCTCCCCGCACTTGCTATCACAGAAACCTAATTGATTTTCTCACACAAAACCAATTCATTTCATTAGAACCACCAAAAAAGATGAATTATCATTTTGTACTAGTATTTAGTTTATGTAGCAATAATCTCAAATGCATGCATGGTAAAAGACTAGTAAAGAACATTACTTGGAGCTGAAGCAGGAGAAGGAGAAGGAGGGGCGGCAGGTGTGGCAAAGGAGAGTTGGACAAATGATGAGCTGAAAACCAGGGAAATAAACAACAATGTTGCAAATAATAACTTCATTTTTCTTTTTGTGTGAGGGATGGTAGCAAGTGCAAGGTATAGAGAAAACTAAAAGACTGATATGAATGTGGCTTGCTCTCGGTCGAGGAGGGGTAGCTAAAGGTCGAGCGAGTGCAGGTGGCCTTGGTCCTGGTTTGCAAAGGTATTTATAGGAGATTAGATCAAACAATTTGAAATACGATATAATAACACAATACGAAAATAATACAAATAAAAAATAAAAAATAATATGATTTAAATTTTTTAAAAAATTATAAATAAATTTAATAAAAATAAAAAATTATATTTAATATTTTCATATTAATATAAATTATAATACTTAATTTTTATATAAAATATGATACAAATATAATATATTATATGACATAATGACATAAATTGTTAAGTTGGGAGATGGTGCTGTCATCATTTGAGTGATGGAAAGGACAAATTAAAGAAAAAAAAAAAGGGAATGCGCATACAGCTTTGGTACAGGCTGTAAGGGTGGTCTTTTTTGTGAGGGACCAGCGGCCATCAGCTGAGGAAAAAGTTCAAGATTTGTGTTGTCGTCCAGCCAGGTTTAATATCGTCCTAGAAACAAAGCCTTACCAGCTGGTTAACTACTACTTTCTTTACAGATTCCCAATTGCATTTGCTAAAAATGAAATTCAATCCAAAAAATGATAAAACTTAAATCATTTCAACTCAATTCTTGAATCGTTAAAAAAAAAAAATTAAAACTCAATTAATATAACAACACATTTTTCGAATTTTTAGAAAATTATTTAACCCAAAAGCCAGGTTGATTAACTTGGATACTTACCCACCTGTAGAGGCTTGGAAGGATCGTTTCTTATATTATTAATGATTTTTCTTTTAAAAAAAACCTAAAATTCCTAATTTGATGGATAATTTATATTCTGGTCACTGTAGCTTCTAGGATTCAACCCAAACGGATATATATACCAAATCCCTTATTTTTTTTATTTAAGATATTCACTTGCCCCAACCTGTTTTTGTAATTTTCAAATAAAAAAATGTTTTTTTGATATATTTCAAATTCGAAACTCTTAATTTTTAAGATAAATTTGAATATCATTGAAGTAACAACTTAATAGTAATCAATAAGATTGTTGACATTTGTATTTGATTAAAAAATTTTGACATAAGAATTAATATGCGTTGAATTATTATTTGTTGGGTTTCATTAACAGACAATTGTAACCATGAGTAATTTAGCGTACATCGATTGTTTCCCAACCATGCATTAAACCCACTCAAAGAGTTTCTCGGCCAAGTCAATTAATATCCCATCAAGAGTAATATGTTCTTCGAGGAGTCCAGGCTGTTCGATTCGATCAATTGGCCCACTTTGCAGGAAATTTCTGAAAAAATCCTTTAAAATGAATAAAATGAAACCTACAGAGACATATGAAAGACCTAAAAAAAAATAAAGTAATTATCATAGTGGAAAACAACAGGCTGTCTCGAATCCTGTCTAACTTAGTACGTTTTCCTCGTTTCCTCTGATTAATGTTGGAGTTTGACACGTGATAAAGAAGAAACAGAAAGTTAGGTTGGCCAATGGTTTATCACCTCAGTGCCCAATGATGAAAGCCGTCGTCAACAAGTGTATGACTTTAACTCGGGAGAGGATATAAAACCATGGAGAGTTATTCCAGGTTATGACCTCAAATGAATATCTACCATCTAACCAGCTGGATGTCAGAATCTCAGTAATAATTAATGAAAACCACCTTGATTAATATATCTCCAAGCATCATTGTTTGCTCGTTAAGGAGATGCTATATTACCCTTCACATTATTATCATACCTTCGATCAGTCTGCTCTGAGTGTCCAATTCCAATTTCCAACCAGTCCCACGTTTATCTTCGGGCACAGCTAGCATATACAATACGAAAATTTTGAAATGAAGCTAGATTAATGTTAAAAACTCAGAGTTTTAACCAGTACTAGAGTTTAGTTCTCAAGTGATGAGGATATATACAGGGTGGGGTTTGAACTTCAGTTTTCTCCACGAAGCCAAAGTTTAACTTCAATGTGGCAAATCAGATGTGCTTTGAATAACGGTTTGTGTTGATTGCTTTTCAATTGGACTTGGAACTCGGAAGTCGGATAAAACTATACAGTGATGAATATTCAGACAGTACTTGCTATAAATCATAGATTTAAAATACAAAGGGTCAAAACTTTCTGCATAGACAAGTTTAGATTATATTACATGATAATGTTCATTTTCTTTAGGTTGTGGACTGATAATCATATACATGGACAACTTAATGCAGATCAAAAGATCAGCCTCCAAGACCACAGGAAGGATGAATATCTTGATCGTGAGAAGATTCATCATCACAGTGACTAGAGGCAAGCAAATTGACCTACAGAAGAGCACAATGATTAGCAAACCTGGCCCTAATGAATTTTAGTGTGGTAAAGTCATACAAAAACTATACCTTAATGATCTCCTGCTTTGGCACTGGCCGCATAGAGGATGTCAAGACACTGAAGTTAAAATGCTGCTTCCGAAAACAGAGAAAAAACAAACAGGTTAAATTATGTCATCAGGAACAATTTATAACATCAGGAAGTGCTTCAAATGCATACATGATATCCAAAATACATGCAAAGTTTCGACTCACTAATTCAACTTTGGATTACCGTCCATTGTATTTCTCACTTTCTTGTATTATATGTATTCTAAACTTTCAGAAACGCAGTTGACTCATGCAAAATCTTCAAAAGATTGAACTCTCAATTTCTCATACATCAAACATGATTAAAATTAGCTTTTAAAGTAGAGAGCTGGTTGAGAAAGAAGCAGCAATCTGTCGTATCTGTTGAAAAACGAGATAAAAAAAAAAAAAAAAAAAGGGTAAGGAAAGACAGAAAAACTTACCCTGAAAGGATCACCCCTTAGGGACTGCACAAAAACAGAGTTTCCTGACTCCATACCCTACAAATGAACAAGAAATACCACAAAACTATAATTCCTTATAGGTCCAAAACCTAAAGATGTGAAATATCATAAAAATTATCTATGTTTTTTAAGTTTGGGGTATTTTGAGTCCTTAACTAGAGAGCCCTCTCCGCCTATTGCCAATTAGCTTTAAATTATATGCCTATGAAATTTGACAATGTACCTCAATATAGACGTCCCTAAGTCGTCTTCCATCTTGAGCACAGCATATGCGAACAACATGTTCATCACAACTGCCACTGATAATATAGTCCCTTCCATTCATATAATAGGAGCGAGTATAGTTATGAGCACTTCCCGTTGAAGCTATGTTGAAATTCATATGGAGCCTCCCATCTACTGCCAAAAGTTGCTTAACCTGAATGATACCATAAGAGTTTCATTTGAACCCATTAAAACGAGCAGCAAGTTCACATAATTACTTTCATCAAAAGGAGAATCCAAATAAAGCTGGTGAAGACATTAACAATAAAATACTGAACACCACGAAAGAACATGCTGGACAAGCATACTTTGTCCATTAATCCTTTGCAAACACCATAAAGCCCATCTTCACAGAAAATATTATAAATTCTCGCAAATAGGTGTGATCTATAGTATAAAGCGACAAGATGGATCTATGTACCTCATTATCAATGGCTGACACGAGGACATAGAGATCATCAGGAGAAAAGCAAACCATAACATTTCCTCTAGAGCTTGAAGCAGTATAGCAAGGCCTCTCTGGTCTCTCCCTCAAATCCCACATCTTGACATCTTTGTCAAATGAGGATGTAGCAAACATAAATGGACTGTGATGAGCAAACTTAGCAACATTAATAGGTTCTTGATGCATATTAGTGAACACTTGCAAACGTCTTCCAGTGCTAATGTCATATAAAGCAACGCCTTTTGAGTAACCACTGGCAAGGAATTGGTCATCTGTTGAGTTCACATGAATAGAAGTTAATTGTTCAAAATCTTCATAATTAATTGCATCTGAACCACAACAGGTGTCTTCTAATTTGGCCGGCATATGATTAACATCAAACAACTTCAAGCAACCATTGTCAGATCCAGCAACAAGCTGATTGTTTAACACAGAAAGAACCATCAATGATAGCCAAAGTTACAATAAGCAAAATAGAGTAGCTTAATATATAACTAGGCATCCTGTCTATTGCTCATGGCTATTACTTGAATCAAATATATGATCAAGAGATTAACTGCTACTTAATTTATCCCATTTCACAATATGAAATGTGAAAGCTTCCCACTGTTGCTTGGAAAATTCGTAAGTTAGCATGTAGTACACCAATTCCAAGGGAAAATGAACCTAAACAACGAGAAGAAAGAGCTTCAAAATCTCTCTGTTTTCATAGACAACTCCATGAAACATTCTAACACAAACCTGAAGCCAGTTATTGTGTTTATCATACTATCATTTATGTGTAGTGATTTGACATTATTTTACTGTACAACATCAAATGCTTCTTTGAAACAAATTTAATCCAGATTGAAAAAACAGGCCACTTGTGTAATTAAAAACTGCAGATAAAAAAAATGTAATCAGAAAATAAAATGCATTTCACTGAATCCATACCTTGGATGGATATTTCTTGAGCCAACAGAGTCCCATAACACTATTCATCATTCCTATAGATGAATTATAGCCGACAATATTCCCTGTCTCATGATTGATAACAACTATCTCACCATCTAAAGTTCCAAAAGCCATAAGGCTGGCGCTGGAAGGATGGTACTCAAATTGCCTTGGACGAACCCTCTTATTTTCTTCTTTAGATTTATGGCTAAAGCTGGACACTGGATGTAAGAAGGGCCACATTGAAGACCCAAATTTAGCAGCAGTAAGAGACCTCGAGAAGAAGCATTGACTCTTTCCATAACAATATGTCTGCTTTATCTTTGAAGAGTTTCTGCAGTAAATACCACTTGTTCCCATTTCGCGCTTCTGCAAAATGTTAACAACACTTTTTTTGTGATTTTGTTTATATGGCAAGTACTCATAGTATTCTGAAAAGATAGTCTTCGAAGTTTCCCTCTCCATCTTTGTGATAGGCAGATTATCTAATACTTCTAAATGAGGCAAGGAAGCAACCATGTACTCCCTATAATGTCTCTCAAAGCATATAGGTGAAGGATGATGCCAAATATCTTTATTCAATGTACCAGAAGCATTCATCGAAGCCTTCTTCTGTGCGTCTAAAGAAGGACGCTTGTCATTGTCTTGAATCTGCAATTAGCCAAAAGAAACCTATTAGGCAAAGTGGCAAACTACAATTACAAAAAAATCTTAACTTTTCTACTCACACCAATCCTACAAGCATATTGTCTTCTTACCTTATTTTGCAGTTTCGACCCTGTACACAAATTAGGAAGCAGGCTGGATGATGTTTCCAATGGGTTTTGAAGGTCACCTGGAAGTTTGACTTCATCAACTTCTGATGAATCATCAGTTGCCTTCTGAACTTCAGGTACCATTAACGATTCCTGGAGGGAAACGAAGCCTATTGTCTCATCAGTAGAAGTTTGCAACGTATCACACCCACCAATAACAGAGAGTTCCTCACTGTATGAAAAGATATTTACCATATTTGAAAGAGGCTTCTTGTTCTCAAGCTTTTCTTTCTCACTAGATGACAAATGGCATGGCCCAGTATCCTTGCAACACAAACAGTTTTGGAACCGTAATTCTAACAAAGAAGGAAGTTTTGCTAGAACTGCTGTTGTCGTCCAGAGATTAGCAACTCTTGTCTCACACATTGATAGACACATCAAATTTGGCATGCAAGAAAAGCAGTCCTTTTGCAAAGTAGTGAGTGAAGTGCAAAAATCCAAATTTAGGGTGTGCAATTGCATAAACCTTCCAACCATGTTGAGTTTTTGGATATGGGTTGTCCTCAATTTTAAAACATGGCAAGGCAAGCCAACATGGAAGAGATCCCTGGGTATAACGCAAAAAATAATAGTTTAAAAATTGTCCAAATGGTAAATATCTCAAAGCACTCAAGAACATCCTTTATTAACCAGCATTGGTTGGTGACAGTAAAAATTTAGCGCAACAAGAATATGACAACATTTAATCAACAAACACCAATTTGCTACAATGTGCATAATAAACAGACAAGGGAAGTACAAAATTCCACAGGATAATCATCAGACACATTATGCAATCTTAAGGGTTATAAGATAATGGCTAACACATCGTTGTAATGGAATTCTAGTGATTTTTTATAATCAAGTTTCACAAATATAACAGAAGGAGATTTGCTAAAACATGTCGAATTCTATCAAATGGGGGACTTTTTAGTGAATCTCTAATATAATATGTGCAAGATTGGATTTTAGTAATACAACAATTGCCCTTTATTTTCCCTTTTTTCTTGCTATGTTGACTGCTGCTATCCATTTTTACAACTTCATAAATGTAAGCATTAAAAAGTCTCTCGTAACTGCTATATTATTCTTCAAATTAGCAATAGAATCTAATCAAACACTTTCAAGATTCCAAAGCCTTTTTAATCGTATAGATACATCTAAGTCTCGATTAACTCTCCCGCTAAAATTATGCCTAGAATCCGAATATCAAAAACAGAACTATAAGCCCCATCATGATTCATGTGTGATCTTTTAATCGGTGAATGACGAATTGATTTTCTTTAAGATAAGTTAACATCTTGTTCAGCAGCAAACCTGAGTCTCTAAGTACTACATTTATTTTAAGAAATTGGCTTCTATCTATCATTCAATTAGAAAACGATTTTCCAGAGATCCACAAGCATTATTGCTTTGACTGTTTAGAAATCTTTGGCAGGGACATGAGGCAACTTGGTTTGGAGGTGAAGCTAAAAACATATGTGATAGAAAGCGAACCAGAAGATAATAAGTCATAATCTTGAAATCATTCGAACATGTTCTAATCAATTGAAGGGGATAGAAGTATTACACACCAGAGAAAGTCCTTCTTTAGAGATGAGTTACTAAGATCAATTACTTGCAGCTTTAGTTTGATGGCATTCATCAAAGATAGTATGGATTCTTCATTCAAGACAGAAGTTGATTCATGATGGAGGATATCAACCGCATCAATATCAGAAGAGTCGATTGCTAGAAAAACATCAATCAATGGTGGAATATCATCATCTGTCAACTGGTTTAGTGAAACCACAATATTACACTTCTCTTGACAAGACTTTTGAACCTTGACCTGAAAGATAACAAAAACTATTCATCAATGGCAGACAAAAAGCAATCTCAGAATTTAATAGTAAACAATTCATACGAAACCTTGTACCAGCACAAAAAAAGGAGCAAAAAAGAAAGAACAAAACACATATTCTGCAGGATGTTGGAAAATTGACCTTGGAAAACCATGATAGCACTGTGGAGTTCGGAAGAACCTCGTGCCTCCTACAAGAATCAAGATACCTAACACCAAAAACAAAGAATTTCAGCATTAGTAAAGCGCTAAAAAACAGAACAATAGATCTGAATAAAAAACATCTTTTGAAACTCTCATGAACAATACACAGTTTGGTTTCCAAATATATATATTAAGAAAATAGTTATATGAAATGAAAGTAAAACCGTGTCTCATCAAAGAGAGAATGGATCAAAAAATGGGTTTATACTTCATATGTAGGAGTAAAAGCCAATCCCTCTTACTCATCCCATAGTAACCAAATCGAGTAGGGTTGATCTTATTCTTCGGCAACTAAAAGGAAACTCTTTCAAGTTCTAAGTCAAAGTTTTTTTTAAGAAAAAAAAGAGCTTTCCTAATCTAGCCAAGTTCAATTACTTCACATTGTCAAAAATTTTCAGCTGGATTACACCTTATGAATGGCATTCCTAAAACAATGATTAAATGCCAAAGTTGCTCCAAATTGCAATATTAGGAATTTGCATTCATACAAATAACACTAGCATTACTTCAAAAATCTACAAATTCTGAACTGCAGGTTTTCTTCACAAGTCAACTCTATTTCATCAGCTTATCATAACTAAATGTTCTCAAAAACAATAACTGAACAATTAACCTGGAAAAGAAAAAAGAAACTAAGAAAAGTGTACCAATCCTGTAAACTGGAAATATCCATGGAAATGAAGCTTTGCCAAGTTGCTATGTTTTTCGAAGTTTACAGTTGCAACAGTGACGGCAATAGATATGAATTTGGTAAAGTAAGAGAAAAAGAATTATGACCGTGTATAAGAGAAGTGGCGTCTCAGAAGCACATGTCTAAGGATAAGCACAAGCACCATTAACTTACCTCTATTTGCCATGTTCATATCAATTCGGACGTTTGTCGCAATATGACATTTCAACTTTTCGTGGGTCCAATTTCCAATTCATTTCGATTTGCTTTTAAGTCTTTTAATTTAATTAACTCCTCACGTTTTAAACGAGTCATGTGCTCAAAATGGGTCCATCCTCAAAACCACTCTTGGGTTTAGCTTTGGACCCGGCGTTTCACCTAAATTTGAGACGCGGACCGAAGATATATAGGATAGCCTGACCCACACTAGTTCTTGAATACTTTCACCCTATAACTAAATAAGCCTATCCACCCACTTGAAATAATATAAGCTCTAATTAAATTACGGTTGAATAATAATGAGTAAACCATTTTATACTAGCACTTTAGCATTTGATTTAAGGTAGGTATGCCTTTCGATTTGGCTTAAATGGTCATATTCGCACTTTTAAAATTAGATTTAATGATTTATATATTTATATCATGTAAAATATTAAAATTTATGTATTCGTATTATATTTTATACGAAAATTATATATTATAATTTATATTAATATGAAAATATAAAATAATTTTTGTTAAACTCATATATTATTATTATTAAAATTTTAAATTGTATCAATTTTATATTTTGACGTCTGATATTATTTTGAAGATCATCAATAATGGTTTAATCACAACGTAATCTCATTTTAATCTAATCACCATGTTGAAAAAACTCTGTTAGAATCTCTTTTTTTTCCCAATAATATAGAGACATACATATGAAGTAAATGGTACTATATGTTTTGCAGCTGCAGGAAGCATAAGATCACTTTTTTTAGGCACTTGGGAAATTGGTAAGAAGAAAGCATTTGAAGATGGCTTCAAAGAGACTTCCCTCAAAATGAAAACATTCTTGATTGGACCCTTTTCTGTTGCCACTACTATAATTTCATTCTCTTTGTTTTTTCTTTTTTTCTTTCTTTTTCTCTCTTGTAATGGCCCACTATGAAACTATGCTCTTCTTTTGGTCCTTCAGCCATGTTTCTTTTTTTTTTCTCAATTTTTATTTAGTAGTACTACTATATTTATACAAAAATATTTGAAAAAGGGTAACAAAATAATCAAGTAAGGGAACCATTGGCATCTACTTTACATGATAGAAGCCCAAACATCCATGTTAGAAGTGGGTTCACCACCATAAATAAACATTATAATTCTATTTAATTGTTTGATAACATACATGTGTGCATTATAATAAACTAATGTTAATATGAATAAAGTAAAAAAAAAAAAAAAAAACCAAACAACATAAAATTATATTAAACTCAATTATGATAAGGCTTGAACTTGAAAAACTTTCAAAATCTTTTTTTTATTGTTGAAATAAAGTTTTATTAGCGTCAACTAAAATAAATAAAAGCGAATTTGTTATTATATATAATTTGTTTAGTAGGAGAAAAAATAAGAAAAGTGAAGAAAATGAATTAATATGTATTTTTGTCAAATTCAAAATTTTCAAATATGACAAAAAAATCAATTTCAATTAATGAATTTATTTATAATTTTATTCTTATTCTCGTTTTTTTTTTTTATTCTTCATACCAAATACATGAAAAGAAAAAAAATCTTTCTTTCCTTTCTTTCCTCACTTTTTTTTCTTTTTTCAAATATAACGTTAGAATTCAATGGCAAAAAGGATAAAAATTTAAAAGAAAAAATACTTAAAAAAAAAAAAGAGGGACAAAAGAGCAGTTGGGGGTGAAATCATAATGGAATCGACAAGTGCTGAAAGTAAATTGATTGTGAAATAAAGAGGGTAGGTCCTAAACTTTTGAAGAGAAAATATTGGAAAGGAAGGCACAACTAGGTGTGGAGGATTATTAAAAGGGACTGCTCTCGACTCAGGCCTCTGGATTTACTACTAAAGGGACAACTCAAGGCTCTTATTTTGCTGATAATGCTATGTATTAGTTTTACAGAACAAAATTGAAAGAAAAAGAATCCAACTTTTTTTTTTTTCACCGTTGGTTGATAAGCGTCTGTCTATGGTAGCTTTCGGCTCCTGAAAGTTACAAAAGTTCCTTTTTTTTTATAGCAAACATAAAAATAATGGATGACTTTGCAGCTGAAAAAATAAAAATGCCTTCTGCTTCATCTCTATATGGTCCCAACTCTCAGAAGGTGACTCAGAACTCAGGTGTCACAACGTATTTTTCATTTTGTCAATTTGCATAATTGGCAGCATGAAAAGATTATTTTCGCTCATCAATAATGGAACTTTGAAGGGGAATCCCAAAGCCTATCATTTTAGGGCTGGTCAGTATCATGGATAGTTTCCATGAAATTTGATATATTTTTTAACATGATCAAAGGTGTTTTCGGTATTTTGTCAGGACTTAATTTCATTACTTAATGATTTTAAAATTACATTTTTCATATCGATTTAATGCATTCATAATTTTTATTTTCAGAATGATAACTCATGTAGATGAAATTTACATTTTCATTTTTTCTTAGAAATGGAACTGAATTTGACATCTTTTTTCTTTTAAATTTATATCATTCATCTAAATTAAACCATTACAATCGGGTTTTTTTTTTCTGGAATTGGGATTGTTAATCACTCGCAATTAACGAAAATTAATATGATCGACCACCCTTTTTTTGGGAAAAACATGGCTGAATTCTAGACAAAGAAGATGTTCCCGAAGCAGATAATGCATGTTGAGTCGGTCAGTTGGAGGCTTTATTTTCCCTTTAACGAGTGGGTGTAGATATTATTTGGTGTCGAGCTGTCGTTGTAATTTAGGCTGCACCTGAATATTCATTGGGTGACACTAGAAGTTCACAGGAGGATGAAAAATGGAGCAGATCAGACACTTCCATGGTTCAATCATCAACTGTTTGCATATCACACTCGCCACGTCCACTCGCACCTTATCTGCCTTGAAACTATAGGATTTTAGATTTGGTTGGGTTCGAAAAACCGTCATTGAAAAATTATGCCAGTGCTTTTCAATTCGAAATGAAGCTTCTAATAAACATCATGACAAGAACCCAAGAGCAGGATTTTTGGAGATGAAATATGAGAAGAAGGGCAATGTACATGGAATCGTAGCCAACTCACTTGTGTGCGTTAATAATAAGCACGTAAAATAAGGAAACAAAGCTAAAAAAATTGTGACTTACTAAAAAAAAGAAGAATAAATCAATAGCAAAGCCAAAGGGGAAAAGAAAGAAAAGCATATCCTAAAAACAAATAGTACAAAATGGAATAAAGTAGTGGAATTACAAAAAGAAAAAGGTACAGTCTCTCCCCCTCTCTCTCTCTTTCTCTGTCTCTCAAACTTTCCCCAAAGAATTACAAAGCAAATGTGGTAAAAACCACACCACTAAGCAACGGAGTAGTTTTTAAAAAGGAAACAAATAGAGTAAAATAAAAATATATCAAATGCGAGACATAGAGGAATTTAAAAAAAAAAATTTGAACACCGAATCCAAATCTCTCTCTCTAGAAGATCAGAGCAATGGCAGCCCATCCCAATCCCAGTCCTCCAATTATCTTCTGCATGTTCGTCATTGTCTCAGCTCCACTCTGCAAATTTATTTTTATTTCCAAAAATTTCAATAATTTAGACAAATATAAATCCCAAAACCAATATTCATTAATTAATTAATGCTAATAATTAAATTTAATTGTATTTGGTGCCGTGTATGACTTCAATTGACTAGTTTAAACGGACTAGCTCCACCTTCCTCAGCGGCGCGTCCATTAAACGCCTTTAAACGAAAACAAGTACTCTTAACTAGTCAAAATGTTCAGATCTGGAAGCGCATTGTTATACGATGTAAGTTGGAATAAAAACAGATTGGAATGTGAGAAAAGAGAGCAGAATGTACCTGATCGGCGGCAATAGCAGGGCCGGGAGACGAAGAGTCGAGGCTAGGTCCAGGAGCTCCGGTTGGTGAAGCAGGAGGTTCAAGCAAATCAGGTGAAGGAGCGGGAGCATTGTGTTTCTTAGACTTCTTGCTCTTGCTTGGAGCTGGTGCAGGAACTTCGGCAGTAACTGGTGCCGCAACAGGAGCCGGAGGAGAGGCCGAGCTCTCTGGAGAAGTTGTCGGTGCGGCAACGGGAGGCGATTTGGCTGGAGGAGAGCTCACAGGAACTGGAGCCGGTGGAGAACTTACTGGTGTAGCAGCCGGAGGAGAAAAGGTCGGAGCAGATTTAGATGGAGCTGGAACCGCCGTGGACTTCTCCGGAGCTGCAGCCGGAGGTGAAGAAGTTGGTGGAGAAGTGGTAGGAGCGGCGGTTGGGGCTGGTGATTTAGGTTTATCCACGGGAACTGTAGAGGGAGCAGTAGCAGGTGTAGTCGCTGCCGGCGGAGCATTAGTGGGTGAGGCTGCCGGAGCTTGACCACCAACACCGGCCACCACAATGCAAATCAAAGCAACTGAAATCGCGCTTCTACGATCCATTTTTTGTTATATTTTTATTTTTTATTTTTTTTTTGAGACGGAGCGAGGGGGAGCGAAGTAGTAAGAGAAAATAGTGGCAGAGAGAGAGAGAGAGTATAAATATAACTAAGTAGAGAAAAAAAAAATGATGATGATGATGATCAAAGTAACGGACCGGTTTAGACAGCTGTGGACCGTAAAAAATAGAAAATGTGCCACGATCACTTGGTTCGGGAATAGCCGTTGGATGAACCTATCGTTGGCCAACGAGCATCAAACTAGCAAACAAAGAGACAGCGTCATGTGGCGCTCGCCACAGTCTGGTTTAGGGGCCTACTTGGAACGGGATGTCCATGTGATTTGCTGACAGGTTACTAATTAATTAATTCAATGAAACTTTTGGGTTAATTAATTAATTTAGGCTTCGAGACGGCTGGAAGGGTATTGTTGTAGGGTCATGTTGCGCAACGTGACAAACCAATAGGAGGCGGCCACGTGAGTGGTTAGGCTGTTGCGGTTTGTTGGGTGATTTTAAGATGGGATTATCAGATCACTGCAGAAATTGTGGGTCCCGTGCAAATGTTGCAATTTCAATAAAAAATTAAAAATGATTTTACCTGTTGGACCACAAGAACATAAAATATTTAGTTTTTTTAAATGATTTTAGTTGTAAAGCGGCTAAGTTTTTTTAATTATTTATTTTAATATAATTAAACCATAAAATTTTGATTAAATAAAAATTTTTTCTTGATTACAAAATGACATAGATACTTGAAATTCCATATTGCTTTCAATAAAAATTAAATATGATTTTACTTGTTTGACCAAAGGAACACAAAATATTTAGTTTTCTTTTTTTTAGTGATGTCACTTGTTTTATTTGATTTGAGGGTGAAATTGGAATAAGATATAAAAAAAAAACTGGTCGCATAATTTATTGTATATAACAAACGGGGTGGCTTATTTAATAACTTTGGCAATTAATAAGTGTAGCTTATGTTGGTAAGTGCAATAAAGAAAGGGACAGAACAGATTTCAATATCTTGAATTATTTATTTATTTATTTATTTCTAATGTTTATCAAATGTAATGTTAAGACAATGGAAGAGCATTAAATAGCCGTATTTAAAGGATCAGATTCTTTATTATCTTTTTTTTTTTTTTAAGTGGAAGACAAAATGTGTTCACATTTTGGTAATAAATCACTTAAATAACATAGGCTCTTGACAGCAAACTTTCCTCATGCGCTGGTTCGATGAGAAAATATTTTACAAAAATTTACTTCCCTTCAAACAGGAATGTCAATTTTATGTGTATTTAATGAAAAATATAATTTAATTTTAATGTGAGTAACTTAAAAATAAATATAAAAATAAAAGTGATTTTAAATTTTTTATCGGATATGATAATATATAATATTATATCTATTTATATTAATACTTTATATATTTGTATGAATTTAAAAAATTAATTTTTTATTAAATTTTATAAATTTTTATTTTAAATTAATTAAAAATTTATTTTAAAATATTTATTATTATATATTTATAAAAATCACGTAAATATAAAAAATGAAAATAAAAAAGCAAAAAAAATTTTTTTGTTTTTATTTTTTTAAAAGGGATCATTTGCACTCATTAAATATTTACAAAAAATGTAGATGAAAATAAATTTAAAAATATTTGTTAATTATAAATATAAACATGAAAAAGAAAGCAAACCTAATTCCTAATGCAAAAATTGTTTACATTCATGTATCATTTAAAAGAGAGGATCATTATCTTGAAGACGTTACAGAATCTTTTGAACAGCTAACAACGAATCTAATTCAATCAAAAAAATTTTATAACCGTAATCCCATGCAAATTAAAAACCAGTAAAAAAAAAAGCATAAAATTTCTGTTTTCAGCATGGATATTGTCATATCATGGGAGACAAATATACTAAAACAAAAATGGTGAAACGAATAATTTTTCTTTCAATAAATATTCTTAGTATTTTTTTTTTCCTCGTATGCTCAAATTCTTAAAAACCATGTTAAGTTTTTTTTTTTTTTTAATTTGAGATTATTAAATATTGATTCTCATAAATAATCATAAAATTGGTTCAATTGGTTAAAGTTGATCTTTCTCGATGAATAAGTCTCGGGTTTGAGTCCTATCAATGGTTACTTATTAACATCATCTCAAATGTATGACTTGTAACTACTTGTTTTAAGTTATCAGGTAGGTACATCTTACTCTGATTTGAAGATTGAACAATCTATTTACTTTCGAAATTTTTTTATTAAAGAAAATAGAAAATCTAAACACTATATTAACAAAATAAATTTTTTTGTACTTAAATCTAAAGAATAAACTTTCATCAACACTCGACCAAAAGACCAGACCATTGTTCTCCCATTTGTTTCCTTCTTCAAGTTACTCTCTACATGGAACTAGCTTTGCTGTTTACTGGTGAGTAGTGACCAATTGAGTGAATGGATTTTTACCCTTCCCTTCTTAAGCTAATTTTTAAAATTGGATCTTGCATTGGGTTAGTAGGCCAAGGATTAAATTTGAGCCCAAACAGGCCCATGATTTTATGTTGGGCCAAGCTGTTTACAAATTATATGCACATGTATTGCTTTGGGGTGGAGCAGAACTACTAACAACAATCCATCCAACAAAAATCATGGGCCAGGATGTCAGATCACAAGTTTGGTTTGATTGGTTTCATGTTTCTTGCATCTACCGGCTGCAGCCTTCAATCAAACAAATCCAATACTGTCCTTCTTGAATTTTGGATCAGGCACCAAGGCAATGAAATCCCCCAAGTCCTTTGTCACACGTTTGTTTGTTTGTTTGTAAACCTGAAACATGCATGATGCATCATTTTCTTTTGGCCAAAATGCATCAGATTTTCCAGTTTTGGGTTAAAACTGTTTGGAAGGCTAACATTACCAGAAAAACTTCAAAAGAGGCCTTGATTCTTACGCTTGTGTCTCATTGCAAATTATCAAATACTCTATATTACACACCTTTTGATGTGCAAGAAAAATTTTTTTCCTTTTAGCCAGAAATTGGGTTTTCTCATCCACATTAAGCAGGTAAGCTCCAAGCTCATGTGCCTGGAAATCAATGCCAAGCACGCGAAACTACTAGCTGAAGAACATGTAACTTATTATTCAATATGGACATATGTCAAGATATGAACTAAACTCCCAAAGATCCTAATTGTAATCATTAATCTGCTAGTATAACTAAACTGTATAGAGCTAATCATGCTTTCCAATGTATAGTTACAAGTTGCATATAATAGCCGCATCTGCATCAACATGAATATAAAACTTGTGAGAAAAAAAAAGGTAAAGAACTAAGCATGCCTTTTCAAATAGATAAACATGTTGCACATGGAAGCCGCATTTTCTGGAGACCAACCCCAGTTGTACTTGACTGCATTTTTTTGTGAGTTCTTGTTCACTTTTTGAGTTGGAAACAAACTAAAAAGCACTTTTGATGTTGATTATTTTGATGATAAATTGCATTTGATTCGCTTCATATGAGGGGACCATGCTTTCAGTTTACTTTGATCTAAAGGAAGTGAGATGTAGAAAATGATTACTCAGTTTGTATAATTCTGCAGCTTCACCTTTTTATTGAGAAAATAAAGAAACTAAAAATGTTTAAGAGTTTGCTTTTCAAGAGGTTTGCACTTCGAAATTTGAATGATTCATTTCAAAGTTAGTGTGTCTGTTATCCATAGGCTAGAACAGTGTGGTCCATTGTCTAAATTGGTGATAGCTGCCTTCTTAACTCTTTGATTGAATCACAGTCCATTTTAGGTGAAATACATATCTTTTTTTCAGATCAGAACTGATTCATGTAGATGAAGTGTAGTCAGATTGCTTAGGCAACAAGAACTACATATATATAATAATATAACATTTTGAATCGTCTATTGTATATGTAGCCAGCATCCAGTTCTGAGTCTTGGCCCTTTCAACATATATAGATTGGAAGAAAAGAATTGTGCTATGGTATTCTTTTTGAAGGCTAATGCATTTATAAATGTCTGATACTCTGATCATTTATTTTTATTTTGATTTAAAATTTGATACTACCTCAAGCTATGCATCATTCAATGAATATGGGCTTATGAAAGGGATATATATCTTAACACATGAAACTTCCTATTTTAGCTAGATTCGGATCCTACTTCTAAATGCATAACCATTAGTCTAGCTCTAGCCTGACATCTGTTCCATAGATAAAATATTGGTTAACCTCTCTTTCTGTTTATGGTTCTCTGTCTCTCATACTTTTTCCTCTCCTTCATAATAGTTTCATGTTCAGCTTAGTTGCCTGGCTGTAACCTTACCCACCAGAGAGCTCCAAGAAACTAATATGAGTCAGCTTTTTTATTGCCTATCATCCATCCGACCTTGAACTCATCTGGATTTCAACTCTCTTTTTCCTTCCATGGAGTCACCTTACCAAAACCCTGCCAAGATGCACTCACAACCACCATGCAGCAAGCCAAATTGTTTCTTCTGTACCATGAATGAGCCAGAACCATCTCTAAGAAGAGCAAAACTAAATCAATGCTTCAAAGAGATGCCTCTCAGAGATGACCAAGAACATGTGTTGGTCTTAAGTGGGGTGTGGAACATTTCCATGACTCATCCTGATGATCCAGAATTTCCCTCCCTTGGTATATTTGAATGCATGGCCAAACTGATCCATAGAGGCATCACTGATCAGGATTGGCTTCTTAGAGGTCAGAATATCTATATTCCCTACTATGCTGCTCATATTATTGGTTCATATACAATGGACAAAGCCCAATTTGCAGAAATAGCTGTTAAATCAGGTGTAGTTTTGCCATTAATGGAGCTTTTGAGAGGTAAGATGAGTTGGGTTGAGCAAAGAGTTGCAGTTCGGGCACTGGGTCATTTGGCCAGCCATGACAAACCTTTGAAGCTGTTGCAGTGCATGAAACAGAGATCATAAATTTAGCAATGGAGATAGCTACCAATTGCCTTGAAGTGGTTTATAAAGAGTTCGTTGGAATAAAAGATAGGAAGAGACCGAAATACCATCGTGACCTGCTTACAAGAGGAAATGGAGGATTGGAGTTGCAGTTAAGGAAGGCTGAAGAATGGGCTAGTCAGCTCCAATGTTGGTCACTCTATTTGTTGAATTGCT